GTAAATTAAAGCACAAGAGATAAGAAAGAAAAGCCTTTTGTGTATAGGTTCCATCATAGACGAAAAAAAAATCCAACAACCGGCAAAAATTAGGTACGAGAAGGAAGGAGCCCATGAAAGGCAAGAAGGCAGAGATGATTTTGAATGAGAAATTGCATTAAAAAATAGGTGATTGTGGCTCCCAGTGTCAGAAAATTAACAATGGTTCCGCCACTGGCAAGAAAGGAAACAACTCCGATCCATACCTCAGCAGCAAGATACTGCAAGTCAGTGGCCATGTAAACCGGCGCACCGGCACCTACATGCTCGGAATACTTGCCGACCATGAGAAATCGGGCAATTCTACCGACAGAAAACTTAAGCCCAGCCTTGCTGCTCCTTGAAGTAGCCTTCTTTGATGCCGCTGTGCCGATTGCCTTGATTTCGCATGAACAGTGAGAGAGAGCTGAACTTTGTTTTGAGAGCTGAACTTTAACAGTGAGAGAGAGGGAGAGATCGGGATTGCGACGGAGAGAGATCGGGATCGCGGGCTATATTGGAATCTGGATCGTGGACTGGAGCATCGAATAGTAGAACGAGCAGAGAGAGGGAATACAATAGCGGTTTTCAAAACCAATAATACTAATTGGCTGTGAAAAATATGAATTTTTAGGAGTGGCGGTTTACGAATTACCGCTATGAACTACTGTGAAATTTTTCATATTTTTTATACTGAACTAGCAATCATATTTTTGAACTTCATGACATTAGTTTAATAAGATTCAATAAACTTTAATATGTCTCCGCAAATATCTTTATAAGCATCTGATAAATTTTTGGGTGTTTGTTATTCCATATATATATAATAAAATCATTTGTGTTATTATATTTCATACCAAAGAATCATAATTTCAAATTCCTTTATTATTTCTACCACTATTCAAATTCAAATTATTTGATTTATAAATTTTATTAGCTTTGTGAAGGTAAAAAAAATCCTGACTCTCCTATCACAACATTTAGCCAACAAGAGAAATTCCTTGAAAAAAAAAAGACTTACTAGCAAGCTCATACAACTTCGCTTTGATCTATGTTTCCATGTTTTCATGATAGCACCGAACGATCAAACGTCGAGTGGGAGAAGAAAAATCGCAAGCACAAGCACACACACAGTAGCGGTAAAGGAGCTGTATGCTCCAGGAACTGTTGTATTGATAAGTGTTGTATGAAAATTCTCTACAAGTTTTGGTTCCACTATTCCTATATGTATTTCTTCTACTAAAGTTGAAATTGCTATAAAAGAAAATACATAAATAAAGCAAACTATTGCAGTAGGTACTAAAATAACATGTAAAGGGAGTGAGGTAGTGGGAGGCGTATTTGGCAGTTAGGGAACCGGTATAGTGTGCTGCTGGTGTAGCTTAAGATACTACATCATTTCACCTTCAATTGCGATCATAAGCGCGTAAGATCATTCTTCTACAATATATATATTAGTTGTGTATTATAGAAGTATAAATTATTTTGAAGAGGAAATTGACTTTATTTGGGATAGTTTTAGACCATCGTTTTTTCTCTACTTTCAAAAAAAATTTGATATCAAAAAGTAGCTTTACAAAGCATTAAAATAGCCATCCCAAACTAAGCCTTAATCTTCATTTGGGATGATTTTCTTACTGCTTTCTAAAGTAGCTTGTTACTTCAAAAATTTCTAATTCATAAATTTTTTGTACTAGAAAATTGCTTTAGAAAGCAATCATAAAGTTGCCCCAAATGAAAGAGTTGATGCACGTGAGGAACATATGATTCCCTTTTTTTGGAACAATTATTACATCCTCCGACTAGACGTAGAGGAACGTCCGGTCGGAGGCAAAATTGTAATATCAAAAATCTGCTCCAGGATCGTCCAGGACGATCTGGATCGTCCTGGGACGATTAGTTGTAATTTTGCTCCAGAATGTGCCCAGTTTTGCTC